TTTCCCTTTTAAAAATCACCGTTCGGGGTGGCATACCCAAAAATCAGGTAAAATGCCATTTGGGGGCAATTAAATTATTTTCACAGGTGGTTTTGGCTATGGATGATTTTCACATTGTACTACAGCTTTGGAACCTAGAAGAGGAATAAGCCACAGCCTGGCAAGGCCCCAGGCCTCCTGGCATGTACTCCGTCTTGACAGATAATCAAGAAATCTCGGGTCTAGACAGGATGCTAGGGGCTCCCACGTGCTGCACGTCTGATGACAGGGCACAGAGGTAGACAGCTCCACCACCAGCACATTCCTCCTCGAATGACCTGCTGTCTGCTCCCCTCCAACTCTACCCATTGCCACTGGCTTTGCTCTCCCACCCTGCAGAAGAATTATAACTCCTCTTTCCTATGACGATCATTTGAATATTTGAAGCCTGGTATTAGGATGATTCTTTCTTACCATTATAGGGGTCAAGAAAAAGGTGGAGAACCTGCACTGTGCTTTTTAAAAATATATATATTTTTTAATTGATTTCAGAGAGGACGGGAGAGGGAGAAAGATACAGAGACATCAATGATGAGAGAGAATCATTGATTGGCTGCCTCCTGCCTGTTCCCCACTGGGGATCAAGCCGGAAACCAAAACCAGACATATGCCCTGACTGGGAATCAAACCTGGACCTCCTGGTTCACAGGTCAACGCTCAACCACTGAACCACTCCGGCTGGGCTGCGCTGTGCTTTTGGGTGATGACTGGATATTTTTTCTTTCTGGGTGGACATCTCTGCACATCCACGACAGTGACAGCCACCTCCCTAGGAGGCAGCTCCACAGTTGGGGTAAGTTCCACGTTTTGCTGGCTGTGGCCTGGAAACGTGCAGCTTCGTTGGGAAGACAAAGAACAGAGACCACATGTCGTGAAGCAAGTGCTCTTACAGACGGATGAGTTAGGTGCCAGGCACACGCAGGGAGAATGGGTGGACCTCAGCCCATCCACTGGGAGGGACTGCTGACCTGTGAGCTTGAACCTCATGAAACACAGGTTACATCGGAGGCCCTTCAAGGAGACTCAGGTCTCAGAGGCGGCTTGCCTACCACCCACTGTCATGTCCCAGACGCCTGCCAAAGGCCAGGTGTCCAGCAGCTAGCTGTCCAATGAGTCTTACTCTAACCCTTTGGCACTTCGAAGGGGCCTGAAGGTGAAAATAACTAAATCAAATGATCTCAAAGCTCTCAGATGAAGATTTTCAAAAAACTCATTAACAACAATACAACTTCAAACACCTAAGACCAGGAGTCGTGGTCCCCATCCCCTGTGGTCCCTCAGCTCCCTGAGTGACATGGAACAGGTCCCCTAACTTTCTGGGACCTCCCTTTTCTCAGTGATACACTGAGGGGCTTGGAAGGTTCCTTTTGGACCCAGGGTTCCCTAATCCTCTTTTGTCTCGTACAGGAAGCTGGATAACCCACAATAATCTGGCTGAACTCATCAGCCCTCCGATCAGTGCGTGATTTCCAGCAGAAAGAAGAGCACAAAGGAAGCAAAGGGAGATGAGATTCCAGCTCCAGCCCTTCCATTACCCTGCCATGTACCGCCAGCCCAGCACCTGCTCCTGCACCGGTTTAGATACCAGTCCCCACATTTACCAAGTGATGATCTCGGACAAGTCACTGAATCTCCTCCAGCCTTGTCATGCACATCTGGAGAGTCGGGCTAATCCCACCTAATCCCAGGGCTACTAGGAGGGAGAAGTCCACTAAAATGTGTTCAAGTGCCCAGCACCCACAGGACACGCTGCATGTCCCCCTTATTCATTCTTTACCCACCCAACCCACTTAATCAACAGACTCAGTTTCCAGAGGCTTCTTGCAGCCCAAAGCACAAGGCAGACAGAGCTACAGAGACTCTAAACGCCAGGCGGTCCCACTCCCTCCTCCCTCTGTGACTGACAAAGGAGGCTTGGAGAGGCTCGGTGACTTGCCCCAGGACCCGCAAGCTCTTCAGCAGCAAAGCCTGACCCAGAACACGGGGCGGCAGACCCCATCGGTCATAGGAGACACAGAGAGAACCTGTCCCTGAGGAAACTGGGAACTCCCCACTTATAACCAAATTCTGAAAAATACAATGAAACAGAACTTTATGTTTTTTGGAGGGCTGCAAGAGAGAAGTAGCATCATTGTTTGTCTCTGAGTTACCTGTGAAATAAAGGTCAGAGGTTCTTGCTAGCAGCAGCCTCCCCCAGTTCCTTGGCTCCCTGTGCCCCTCCCCACTCTGCTCCTGAAGTTTACCCCCTGGGGCAGACATGCTTGCACCAGGATCCTCTCTGGGGAGGTGAGAAGTCTCAGCCCAGAGCAATTGGTCCCCCACCCGTCAAACACAACCAACCAAACCGTCACACCTGCGCTGTCCATCATGCAAAAGGAACTCCTCTCCCAGGCCCTAACTGCTCCAGCGGGAGACAACTAGGAAGGTGCTCACATTCATGAAGGCACAGGATTACGCCAGGGTCAGGGACCGGAAGGCCCCTGCAAAGACATGATCAACGCCCCTGAGACCATTCAGGTGTTTCTGCAGGAAGCTCAGGACACAGTCTACCACGGTGGCTCTGCTGCGAGGGAGCACTGAAGGGGGAGCCCAGACAATGTAAGGAGGGGCCTGGGAGGCACTCCCTCCTGTTCCAGCAAAGCCCGCCTATCAGGGAGCATTTGACAGAGAGGACAAGAGCATGCCTGCTCATAGCTCCTGGCAGCACACTCCCAGCAGGCGGCTCCCAGAGCTCCGAGAGAGCCCTAGCCCAAGCCTCACCTGGTGCCGTGGAGCAAACAGACCCAGAGAGGGAGACCGTGGTGCCCAAGCTCCCACCGCATGCCTGGGCAGCCAGGGCATACAGCCAGCACCTGACCTTCCTTCTGGAGCTATTTCCTTCCAACTGCCCCCAGGCTCCCCTCTGCCAGGCCCCCTCCCTCCTCCCATACCCTGAGCTCACCTCCAGGTCTGAGGGTCCCGCCAGGTTAAACAGCGCTCAGAAGCAGGTGACAGATTAGCAACTCGTCCAGAAGGACCCCTGTAAGGCCGGAGCAGCCAGGCCCTGCCTGTCCCCAGTGGCAAGGGGAGACTGCAGTGCCCAACTTTGCAAGGGCTCTCTCTTCCCTGAGCGATCCTCCTCCTGCACCCCCTCCTCCCCCTCCCGGTCCTCCTCCGTAGTACTATGGAGACACGTGCTCTGCTTGGGGGGAGGCGAGGGAAGTGCAGCTGTGTATTGGAAGGAGAGAGGCAACAAATCTGCTGCCCTGTTACATACACTCACACCTAGCAGGCGAGGAATGGGGGAAAATAGCTCTGTCTGCTGCCACAGAATTATTAACCCCTGCACTCCAGCTCGGCTCCTCAGGCAGCTGAAGCCAGAGAAACAATACACTTAACCAATGGAGTGCCAGCCAGAGACATTACATCATCAGCCAGCACCGCCATTGGCTCATAATTCCTAGAACACCAGTCTGCTTCTAGGTGCTTAACCCTTTCACATTCGCCATAGCAGGGACTCTAAACCAGGGTTCCTGGACCTTGCTTTTATCAGGATCGTCTGGGGGTGCTTTCCAAACATACAGATCACGCAGATTCTTCAGGGGGAGCAGGATACCTGTATTTTAAATCGCGTGCAGAGTGTGGGGGACCACTGGTCTATGAAACTCTTCCTCTCCAACAGGTAAATGAGATAACGTTTTTCTGAGCCTGTATGAGGACCTCCAGGCCAGTACTTTACAGTATTATCTCACTGATTTCCTACACTGAGCAGCAGACGTTCTTGGCTTCGTTTCACAGGTATGAAAAGTAAGGTTCAGAGAGAATAAGTCCCTTGTTCATGGTTCTAGAAGCCAGGCTGTCTGCACCCTACCTGGCTACCCCATTCGAAGCTCCCACTTGAAATCAAACCCAGCCATTTTTTCCAACCTATTGCCTCCAGGGCTACAGGAAGTATAGACCCACTCAATGAACTGTAAAACGCCAGTGACCTGTGAAGAACTGGGGGGTGAAGAGAATGAATTCCCACAGGAGGGAGTCAGGGATCATGAACCCTCCGGGGAATCATTCTCTTTCTCAGACTCAATCCTTCTGCTGCAAATCTCAACTTAGCTGTCACTTTCTCTAGGAAGCATCCACTCACCCCCAAACCCAGGACAGATGCTCCTGTTCCAGGCTCCGACGGTCCCTGTAGCTGTTGGCTGCAGCTGCTTGTCTACCTGGTACACCCCACAAGGGTAGAGCCATTCCCACCTCCTCCACCAGCATCTGCCCAGAACAGTGCCTGCCACATGTGAGGACTCAACCAGAACTACAGGAGGCAGGTGGGAGGGAGAGTGGGGAGGGAGGGAAGGAAGGTAAGAGGAAGGGAGAGGGGACAGTGGAAGGATTCCAGGAGCACAACATCAGGACAGCAAGGCAGGAGGGAGGGAGGGAGGAAAGGTCTTTACTGAAGTCCGAAATGGCATCATGCTGAGATGGGAAAGGTAAAGGTCTGGAAGCCAGGGACCCCATATGAATGACTGACTGACCTTGGGCAAGTTCACTTTGGGGTCAACTGAAAATGAGGACCACAGCACCTTCCTCGTGAGTTTCAATGGAAGAATGAGCCAGGCTGGAATGTGCTCCTCTACATTCTCTCTCCCTCGGTCTCATGCATTTTGTTGGCTGGCTTCTGACTGCTGACAAGTCCCGCAGTTGTCTCTCCAGCCCAGACTCCACCCACCTCGGGTTCCATGTTGAGATCTTGAGCATCTCCAAGAAAGCATTTGAATTTTCTCCCCTAACTCCAACTTGCTCCTAACCCAGTCTCCTCCACTCTGTGACTGGTGCTCCCTTCCACCCAGTCTTTTTTTCTAATAATTGAGGTGACATTCATATAACATATAAGCAACCATTTTAAAGTTAATACATTCATAATGTGTGCAACACCACATCTATCTGATTCTAAACATTTTCATCACCCCAACAAGGGTAAGGGGAACCCACTTACCCTTTAAGCAGTTATGCACCCTTTATCCTTTCTCCCCAAGCCTGTGGCAAACCATGAAACACCAATCCATTTTCTGTCTCTACGGATTTACCTATTCTAGATATTCTATCTATAATAATAAAAGTGTAATATGTTAATTAGACCAGACATCCAAACGACCTTCCAGACATCCTTCTGGACGAAGCTGGGGCTGTGAGGGCCAAGGCAAGCCACCGTGGCTGCAAGGACCAAGCACCTGGCACAAATTTCGTGCATCGGGCCTCTAGTATATACATATAAAAGTCTAAGCAACCGAATGATCAAATGACTGGTTGACTGGTGACTGACCACCAGGGGAAAGACGCTCAATGCACAGGATGGGGCTCCCTCCTGTCTGGATTGGGCCTGTGGTTATTTTGCCGAAACCAGCTCTCCGACATCCCCCAAGGGGTCCCAGATTGCGAGAGGGCACAGGCCAGGCTGAGGGACCCCACTGGTGCACGAATCTGTTTAAATGGCCTCTAGTCCTATATAATAAAAGGCTAATATGTAAATCGTCTCCACAGGAGTTCAACCAACTGGGAGTTGAACTGCTCACTATGATGTGCACTGACCACCAGGGGGTGGCACAGAATGAAGGAAGGCCCTGGCCGGCAGCTAGAAGGCCCCAATTGGCCCTGATCGCTGGCCAGGCCTAGGGACCCTACTTGTGCACAAATTTCATGCACTGGGCCTCTAGTTTCATATAAAGGGAATCATACACTATGTGACCTTTTGTGACTGGCTTCTTTCATTTAGAACAGTGGTTCTCAACTTTCCTAATGCTGTGACCCTTTAATACAGTTCCTCATGTTGTGGTGACCCCCAACCATAAAATTATTTTCGTTGCTACTTCATAACTGTAATTTTGCTACTGTTATGAATCTTAATGTAAATATCTGATATGCAGGATGTATTTTCATTGTTACAAATTGAACATAATTAAAGCATAGTGATGAATCACAAAAACAATATGTAATTATATATGTGTTTTCCGATGGTCTTAGGCGACATCTGTGAAAGGGTCATTCGACCCCCAAAGGGGTTGTGACCCCCAGGTTGAGAACCACTGATTTAGAATGTTTTCGAGGTTCAGATGTAGCATGTATCAGCACTTCATTCCTTCTATGGCTAATATTCCATTGTGAGTTTGTACCACATTCTGTTTAATCCATTCATTTGTTGATGGACATTTGGCATCCATCCAATGTTAAACCAAAAGACAATCCTTGATCCTTCCCTTTACTCTGTACCTCAAGTCTAATGTACCAAGTCCTATACATTTGACATCCAAACTATAGCTCCAATCCTGCTTTTCTCCAATACCACTGCTATGGTGCAGCCAGGACACCAACATCTCTCTCTCTCCTAACTACAAATCTGTGACAAGATCCCATTCTTCTCTCTACTCCACTCTTCGCCTGGTAACTGTGTAAACCAGCTCATCCATTCACCTCTCCTCCATGGAGCTTCTCTCCCAGAAGCTCAACAGACAACAAACAAATACTATAATGCCAGGTCATTACTAAACTAAAATAATCCAAAGATTTTCCACTGCAGTGTGAGGAAAATCCAAGCTCAGCACGGCCTTCCAAGGCCCCATCTACTTCTCCAGACTCCTCTCAGGCTGCTCCCCAGTCACGCTGAACTCCAACCCTCCACCTCGTGGTCCTTGGGCAAGCTGTTCTCTCTGCCTCTTGGTCTTGCGCTGCTGCATCAATCTCGTCCCTCCGATCTCTGTAAATATCACTCCTCAGACTGACCTTCCCCAGTCACTCTGTTAAGCAGACTCACCATTCACCCACTTCAATCATTCAATAAACCTGTGCTAAGCATTGGGCTGGGCTCTTGGGATAAAGCCATGTCTGAACTCCTGGAGCCTTCAGACTAGTGGGGAGGACCAACAAATGATGGACAAGTGCCATAAAGGGAGGGTAAAAGGGAGGGACCTGCTTTACACAGGATGGTCCAAAAGGCCTTTCTGAGGAGGTTCGATGGAAACTGGGGGATGAGAGGGACTCAGCTGGGAAGAGGTCCTATTACTCCCTATCTCACCCTGGCTGTGCAATGCAATGTTGCATCCTTCATGGTTTGCTTTTGAAGAAGCAAAGCATTTCATGTCCGTCTCCCCTCATAGTATTTCCAGCACCTAGGATAGCACCCACCAGGTAGGAGGCACTCGATACTCATGGATTCAAGGGATAATCGGATAAAAATGAATGAGTTAGTAAATCCGCCAATGAAGTCACTTCAAGAAGCATAATAAATCATATCGTTTTGATATCTGTTGCTATTGATACTGATTTATTGCCAAAGGACTCCTCCTCTTCGGGGTTTTGGAAAACTGGGTTGCCGGTAAAATGAGAATAAAAGCACCTAACATGGAGGATTACTGGATCGCTGGAGAGAATGCACAGACAAAACAGGCACTCAGTAACAGGCAGCAGCAGTCACTGTGGCCAGTAGGACTAAAGGTTCTTTCTTTACAGAAGCTGCTGTAGTCAACTAAACGCCAAAATCCATTTTCAGACGCAGTCACGAAGTTAAAAGGTAAGAAAAATGAACTTTAAAAAATGCCTGCTCTGCACCAGGCACAGTGCAAAGCACTTCGTCACTTATCTCATTTACTTCCCAGCCCATCCTTCCAAAGGCCTGCCTGGGACAGCTCTCAGCCCCACCTGAGGCCACGTGCTCCTTACTCCCCCAGCTGCAGGCAATGCTGTTTCACAGCACACAGCTTGGATAGCTTGCACCCACTGGCTGGTCAACGTGGGGCTGCAAAGGCCTGGCCCCAGGGGTCAATGGATTCCGTCACAGATCAACACCCTCCCCTCCCCACCCCAGAGTAAGACCATCCCCCAAGAATCCCCTACACAGGAATCTCAGTCTCTTATTCTTTTTTTTTTTTTTTTTCAGAGAACTGGACCTATGGCAGGTGGGTATGATGCTCTCCTTTGAAATCAGAAAACTGAGGTTCAGAAAGGTTGATCATGTCCCCCGGGCACCCAGCTAAAGTGACTTTCTGGTCTGCCTGATTCCCCAGCAGACCTTGCTCGTTACTACTGCGTCTCTGTGAGACAGCAAGAGGAGCCAAGGAGAAGGAAAGGCCAGCAGGTAGGAAAACGGAAGCAGGGGTGCCCTTCACGCTCCTCCAGGGGCCACCCCTGATGACAGAGGCGAGGTCACAGCTTCCAGAAACAACATGAAAATGACCTGCAGAAGCAGGCATCACATGGACACCATCTCCCCGCCCAAATGAATCCCT